CAGGAAACAGGCAATGGCAAACTACTTCTGAAAAACCTTGCCAAGAAAACTGCAGGAACTTGTCCAGGCAGGAGCCAGGAGTCAAGACTGACTGGAAGGCACATACATACATACATACATACATACATACATAAATGCAAAGATAGAGGAATCGCAATTATGTACAGTCGGAGTTGTTGGATGTTATGGCAATCTCGCAATTTTGTATCTTAAAAATCTTAGACAGAATAGGTCATGTCTAAGAAAACCTTGATGTATGTTCGCCCAATTCAGTTGGAACTCAGTGCTTGAGAAAATAAAGTTACACTTCTTAGAATATCATAACTATACATCACAGGTATTTTTCTAACAATTAGAAATACATTATTTGTTTCTAAGTGAATTCAGCATTAAATTACCAAAGTTTTTCCTTTTGAAAGTTAGTAATATTGTGCTGTTTTAAAAGGGGAGGTTATTTGAATGGTTAAAAAATGCAGAATTTGTAATCTTTTTGACTTATGTCCTGGCAGGTATTAGACAGCAGTGGGTAAGCAATTTGGAAGCATTTCTCCTATGTTTAAAAAAAGAATGCTTTTTTCCTTATTGCTTGACCGCTATTTAAACAGTTGACAGTATTATCTTTGAACTGGCCAATTCTGGATTTTCTTCAGCAACATGAAAGATTGGGCCAATAACTAACAGATAACTGTCATTTTCATATGTTATGTTATTTCCTTCCCTGTACATCATTTTTTGTTTATATTCAGTGTGTACTTCATAGTTATCTGCTCTACTCAATAGCTTAGTGTGATAATTTTAAAACTCTTATTTTGATTTTTTTAAAGAATATTTTATTCTTAAAATATTTGAAATACTCTACGAAGTTGACATTTTATGTGGTTTTGATAAAAAATAAAACATAGATACTAATGAATGTCTTCAATTATAATGGACTTAAGAATGACCTCTGTGAAGCAGTATCTTGCTTTAAATCAGTTTTTATACCTTTATGATTTTCTAGCCAAATATGTATGTAATCCATAATCATTCTTTTTTAATTCCTTGAAAAGTTTAAAGCAGTGGCCAGAACCATGCTAAGATATGAATCTTACAGTATATGTGGAGTCATCCTTGGAGTTTCAGATTATCTGTTCTGTTCTAAGGACTGCCACAGAACATAGCATGATAATTCAATGCAAATGCATGAATTCATTTTAACATTGTAAAGGCAGGTTTTTAGTGTTCATTTTTAAGTAAGAAATAGATCTGTGTTGCTGAACTGTCCAACATACCAATATGATTTTTGCAGGTTTTAGCTGATGCCGTTGCACGCTTGGTCGTAGAGAAATTCAGCGATTTGACAGATAACTTTACATCACCTCATGCACGTAGAAAAGTGCTAGCTGGTGTTGTCATGACAACAGGTAAAAACAAAACAAGACCAACCTGCCATGCAACTGGGTTCTTTATCCCCTTGTTTGTATACAAAATAAAGTGATAAAGGTAAATAGATATTTCCCCTTTCTTTCCCATATTTAACAATGTGAAATCTCTTCATGCCAAAAATTATAGTTAGCAATTCAGATTTAATTTCATAATCTCTAAATGTTATATTTTAATATTAACCATTATTGGGTGTGTGTACACATGCATGCAAATCATTGTTTTTATTTTTAATTTTAAAATCCTCTGTCTGTTGCTTAATCATATACATGAAGTAGCTATTTGTAATAATCAAGTACTATATTATCCCAAATTATACATATAACATTTTTAACAATAGCAACTCTATTAAATGTATAGCTTAAATGATACATTGACAGTTTCATTGTTAAAATGTTATAATCATGTATATATTATCCATGATATATTCAGTACTGAAAGAATAAATGTGTTTTGAGTTACTGTAAACAGTTTCTCACCCCAACAAACTGGGAATTCACTGACTTAAATGAAGTGATCATAGCACCTATGATCCATAACCACGTCACTGTCCCATAAACAGAATGGATTGTTGCACTAGTAAATGAAATTATATATTGAGAGAGAAAAAGGTTGAAAAAGGCAGGGAAAAGGAATCAGTAACTCTCCTAAATTCTCTGAATTCTGGAAAGTTGTCTGTTTTATAGTTACATGCCCATGTTCCATTCAAAAAACTTTTCCAGTTAGCTAACAATTATAATGTACAGATACATTTATTTTTAATCCCATTATTTTTAATCTCATTATTTTTAATCCCATTGCTTAAAAATATATAAATAAAAGTGGTGATAATTTAAAAAAAACCTGCCAGTTTAAATCCATAATTAATGTCATTTCATATTTGTTCAGGTTCCACAAATCCAGAAATTAGAATCTGATACTTTAAATTACGTTCCCCGTAAACAACCAAATCTGCTGTCCTGAACTACATGATAAATTCAACTCATAGTTTGTTAGAACTCAGATGGAACAAAAAAATGCCTGAGGCCACAGGCTGCAAGGAAGGAGACTACATAATTTTTCTCTAAAATTCACACATTTTCACACAGCCCCACTGTATATGATATGGATGGTTTGGATTTAAATAGTTAGCTTGGCCTGTGCTGTATGTAGTCTGAATCTAGTAATGACTTAATTGTATGGAAATTTTCGGTCCATTCAAGAAATGCATGTAGCTGTATGGCTTGACAATAAACAGTGTGAATTGTAGACCATGCAGATTGATAGTTTGCTCAGTTTTATATGATTCCAAAATTTGAAAGCCAATCCAAACAAAAGCAGTTACTATGACTTCATTTCCCCCACAACTTCAAGTATATTGATTAATGTAGAGTTGAGAATTATTTAGTCCAATATTTTGTATTAGATGGTGCTCATTAAGCCACATGTTTAAGCTGATTGGGGGAAAAAACTTTCTATAAGCCTTTTC